TGGCAGCGTCTGCTGCAGCAGGCCTGGTTTCACAAGGGCAGGTGGATAGGGCCATAACGAACACTAGGCCGTCTGAAGCTCATGCTCAGGGGTGCGCAGCGGCGGTTCGCGCCAAATCGTGGCCAAGGCCAAGGCCCACACTCGGAGAGGGCGCGGGGTGAGCTCTGGTGGGCGAGGTGGGGGCGGGGAGATGTCGCCGCGCCTCGGGCGCTGGCCCCCCTCAGAGGGTTGCGTGCCCACCCAGGTGCCAGCCAGGCCACTGCCGTTCGTGTTGTGAGCTTCGGTTGGGCCTGCATCGTAAGACGTCTAGTTTCGCAGGAGCCTTCTCACAGGACAAGCTAGCGTTGCGTTTCTGGTAGTCAGTGTTTGCAAGTCTGGACAGGCATTGAATGTGCATGTGCTCCGCTCTGCTGCTCCTCCTCCTTCTCCTCCCCCTCCTCCTCCTCCTCCTCCTCCTCCTCCTCCTCCTCCTCCTCCTCCTCCTCCTCCTCCTCCTCCTCCTCCTCCTTTCTCCTCCGTCCCCCTCCTCATATATGAGCATCCTCTTTCGCCTCCCTCCTTCCCAGCCTCCCTTCTCCTCATCCTCCTTCTTACTGTCCTTCTCATCCTCGTTTTCCCCGTCCCCCTTCCGGAACCCGTCTGAAACTTGCGGGGCCACCTCGCAAACAAAATACCCTGCGACGTGTCCGACCCATTTGGATGAAGTGACCAGAGCAGTTGGCCCACATAGCTTATGGATGGTGGCACCACGAGAGCTGCGTAGCGCTGTGCAAGTTGCATGGGGTGCGCGCGCGTCGCACGACTCACTGGTCACCAATAGAAGGACGAGGAGCGAGGCCACAGGCTCGGAAAGCAAGGAGGCGGGAAGGAGGGGCAGGAGGAGGACGAAAGGGGGCCCAAAATGTGGGATGGGAAAAGAGGGCGGCGGTGCTCTCAAGTAGTTCGATGGTGTGCCGCGGTGTGACCCTGGCGCCCTGAAAGATCAGCTGCTCAGACCCGCTGCAGGATGCGAGCGAGGCTCAGCTCGCCCGCCCCCCAGGGATGGCGAGGTCGAATCGTCCAGTCCCCAGCGGGGCGCCACCCCGCTGGCCTCCCCAGCAACCCCCAAATGTGGCGACGGCGGCGCAGTTCGCACCACCCCATGGACGGTGAGGTCTGGCCCAGCAGCCCCCGAAGGCGGCGACAGCTTTGCAATTCGCAGCCGCCCAGCGAAAACGAGATCGAAGATGGGCCCCCAGAGTGGCGTCGCTGTGGTCCCCCAGCAGCACTCGAACGTGGCGGTTGTTTCGCAGTTAGTCGCACCCCAGGGATGGCGAGGGCTATTGTGTGTCCTAGCGGTGCGTCGCTGCGCTGCCCCTTTGAGTCCGCGTAGGACGTCATTGCGCTGGCCCCCCAAGCAGCCTTGCGAGGTCGAAGATTGGTCCGCGTAGGATGTCACCGTGCTGCCCCCCCCCCCCCAGCAGCCCTCGAAAGTGGCGACAGTGCGGCAGGTCGCAGCCACCCCAGGGATGGCGAGGTCGAACCTGACTCCGTGTAGGACGTCACTGTACTGGTCCCCCCAGCTGCCTTCAAAAGTGGCGACAGCTTCGCAGACCGCAGCCCCCTGGGGACGGCGAGGTCGAATCTGGTCCGGGTGCGACGTCTCTTGTGTTGTCCCCCCCCCCGCGGCCCTCGAATGTGGCGACAGACTCGCAGGTCGCAGCCCCCCAAGGGATGGCAACGTCTGACCTGGGCCCCAGCGGGACGTCGCTGTGCTGGCCTCCCAACCGCCCTGGAAATTAGCCTGGCGAAGGACCCAACCATATGCAGTTGTGAATGCCGCAATTGTGCTGGGTGGTGGCGGACGCATGCGGGCGGTGCCACTGGGACCTTTCGGTGGAGCTCCCTATGGGGCCACGAAACGCTGTACTGGGTGGGCGAGACGCGGTCAGCAAGGGCTGTGCTGCGTGGTGGCGGACGCATGCGAGCGGTGCCACTGGGACCTTCGGTGGAGCTCCCTATGGGGCCACGAAACGCTGTACTGGGTGGGTGAAACGCAGGCAGGGAGCAAGGGCTGTGCAGGGTGGTGGCGGACGCATGCGGGCGGTGCCGCTGGGACCTTTGGTGGAGCTCCCTATAGGGCTACGAGGCGCTGTTCTGGGTGGGTGAAGCGCAGGGAACAAGGGCTGTGCTGGGTGGTGGCGGACGCAAGCGGGCAGTGCCACTGGGACCTTTGGTGGAGCCCCCTATGGGGCCACGAAACGCGCGAGGGGTGTGCCAGAATGGGGTGTGGAACCGCATGCCAGCGCAGCCACTGGGGCCTTCGGTGGAGCTCCCTATGGAGCCACGAAACGTGTGAGGGGTGTGCCGAAATGGGGGGTGGAACCGCATGCGAGCGCAGCCACTGCGGCGTTCGGTGGAGCTCCCTATGGGGCCACGAGACGTGTGAAGGGCGTGCCGAAAAAGGGGGTGGAACCGCATGCGAGCGCAGCCACTGGGGCCTTCGGTGGAGCTCTCTATGGGGCCACGAACCGTGTGAGGGGTGTGCCGAAATGGGGGGGGGAACCGCATGCGAGCGCAGCCACTGGGGCGTTCGGTGGAGCTCCCTATGGGGCCACGAAGCGTGTGAGGGGTGTGCCAGAATGGGGGTGGAACCGCATGCGGGCGCAGCCACTGGGGCCTTCGGTGGAGCTCCCTATGGGGCCACGAAACGTGTGAGGGGTGTGCCAGAATGGGGGGTGGAACCGCATGCGGGCGCAGCCACTGGGGCCTTCGGTGGAGCTCCCTATGGGGCCACGAAACGTGTGAGGGGTGTGCCAGAATGGGGGGTGGAACCGCATGCGGGCGCAGCCACTGGGGCCTTCGGTGGAGCTCCCTATGGGGCCACGAAACGTGTGAGGGGTGTGCCAGAATGGGGGGTGGAACCGCATGCGGGCGCAGCCACTGGGGCCTTCGGTGGAGCTCCCTATGGGGCCACGAAACGTGTGAGGGGTGTGCCAGAATGGGGGGTGGAACCGCATGCGGGCGCAGCCACTGGGGCCTTCGGTGGAGCTCCCTATGGGGCCACGAAACGTGTGAGGGGTGTGCCAGAATGGGGGGTGGAACCGCATGCGGGCGCAGCCACTGGGGCCTTCGGTGGAGCTCCCTATGGGGCCACGAAACGTGTGAGGGGTGTGCCAGAATGGGGGGTGGAACCGCATGCGGGCGCAGCCACTGGGGCCTTCGGTGGAGCTCCCTATGGGGCCACGAAACGTGTGAGGGGTGTGCCAGAATGGGGGGTGGAACCGCATGCGGGCGCAGCCACTGGGGCCTTCGGTGGAGCTCCCTATGGGGCCACGAAACGTGTGAGGGGTGTGCCAGAATGGGGGGTGGAACCGCATGCGGGCGCAGCCACTGGGGCCTTCGGTGGAGCTCCCTATGGGGCCACGAAACGTGTGAGGGGTGTGCCAGAATCCGCATGCGGGCGCAGCCACTGGGGCCTTCGGTGGAGCTCCCTATGGGGCCACGAAACGTGTGAGGGGTGTGCCAGAAAGGGGGGTGGAACTGCATGCGGGCGCAGCCACTGGGGCCTTCGGTGGAGCTCCCTATGGGGCAACGAAACGTGTGAGGTGTGTGCAAGAATGGGGGGTGGAACCGCATGCGGGCGCAGCCACTGGGGCCTTCGGTGGAGCTCCCTATGGGGCCACGAAGCGTGTGAGGGGTGTGCCAGAATGAGGGGTGGAACCGCATGCGAGCGCAGCCACTGGGGCCTTCGGTGGGGCTCCCTATGGGGCCACGAAACGTGCGAGGGGTGTGCCAGAATGGGTGTGGGAGGGGGAGGAGGGGGGAGGAGGGAGGAGGAGGAAGGAAGGAACGCGGGGCACCGTCTCTTCAAAACGAGGACCCAACACCACAGGACGGTTGGGAAAAATAGCCAGTTTGCAGATCGCAGCCGCCCAGGGATGGCGCGGTCGAATATGAGTCCGCGTAGGACGTCATTGCGCTGCACCCGACCGGCAGCCTTCGAAAATAACAACGGCTTCGCAATTCGCAGCCCCCCAGGGATGGCGAGCTCTAGCCTGAGTCTGCGTAGGATTTTATTGTGCTCCGCCCCCTCACCACCACCCCCACCACCCAGCAGCCATCGAAAGCGGCGGCCGTTCGTTGTCAGCGGCGACAATTTCGAATTTCGCAGCCCACCAGGGACGGCGAGGTCGAGCCTGAGTCCGCGTAGGACGTCACTACGCTGCCCCCCCCAGCAGCCCTCGAATGTAGCGGCAGCGTCGCAGGCGAGGTCTAGTCTAAGTCCGCGAGGGACATGACCGCACTGCCCCCCGCAGCCTTCGAAAGTGGCGTTTTCAGTTCGCAGCCGCCCAGGGATGACGAGGTCTGATCTGAGGTCGCGTAGGACGTCACTGTGTTGCCCCCCCAGCAGCCCTCGAAAGTGGCGACAATGTCGCAGGTCGCAGCCACCCCACCCAAGGAATTGCAAGGTTTAGCCTGAGTCCTCGTCCAACGTCACTGCGCTGCCTCCCCCCCGAGCAGTCTTCGGAAGTGGCGACAGTATCGTAGTTCGCAGCACCCAGGGATGGCGAGCTCTAGTCTGAGTTCGCAGATAACGTCACTGTGCTCCCCCCCACATGCAGCCATCTGAAGCGCCGACAGTTTCGCAGCTGGCAGCCACCCACGGATGGCGAGGTCAAATATGAGCCCGCGTAGGACGTCACTGTGCTGGCCCTCCCAGCAGCCTTTGAATGTGGCGACAGCGTCGCAGGTCACAGCCCCCCAGGAATGGCGAGGTCGGATATGAGTCCGCGCGGGACGTCACTGCGCTGGCCCCCCCCCTGGCAGCCTTCAAAAGTGGCGAAAAGTTCGCAGCTCGCAGCCGCCCAGGAATGGCGAGGTGTTCACTGGGTCCGCGTAGGACGTCACTTCGCTGCTCCCCCCCCTCCCCCAGCAGCCCTCGAAAGTAGCGACACTTTCGCAGTTCGCAGCCGCCAGCGTCAGCCCCCCCTCTCCCCCCGACAGAGCGAAGCTTGAGCGAGCTCAAGCCCACGCTCTCAGAAACTCACACGCCGGATCGGCGGACTTGTGCCATAGCAGCGTTCTGTTCGAGCCGCACATCGGGACAGCACCCATCCCGATAGCATTCCAAAAAGTATTCTCTGAAGGGCAGCCAGGGGCACAGGGAAAGGCATCAGCAGCACCAGCACCGGCAAGCTCTGGAGGCGGAAGTTGTCCTGGGCACCTGTGGATTTGCGCTGACGCTTAGGACCCCCGTGCGCAACTGAAGAGCAGCAACTCTGAGCCACGTCGGCGCGAATGATTGCGACGGCGACGCCGCCCACGTCGGCCTGTCCGAACGGCACCACGAGCACCGCGGGCTCTTCAGAGAGGTCAGGGAGCCAAAGGCGGGATTATCGCATCTGGGAGGTGGCAAGATTTGGAGGGAAAACCATGGTAACATGGGTGGCAGTACGGATTTGAAGCAGCAGGTTCGGGAAGAATGGAGAAAAGCACGCGCCCTCTCTTCGACTTGCTTGCAGCAGATGTTCCTCGAGAGCCAAGGGCGCTCCCAGTTCTGCGTTGTTCGTAGTTGGGTGACGGGCGTGTTTGTGTCCTTCCAACGACTAGGCCGCTTCGGCACAACTGGTCATCAGTTCTTCGATGCTCGTGCATTCTGATTATGGTGTTCCGGTGTTGTAACACTCTTCGTTACGCGATGTGCCTGGTCATTTCTGAGAATTCGCTAGTCGTTGACATGCATGGTCAGGGAGCTCGAGCTTCTTCGGGTTCCGAGTGATCCCCGTTGAAACCGAGCCATCTGCGTAGCTGACTGCTTCGATCCGCGAGTGTCGCTTACGTCCGGTCACAATATGCGGTTTACCGACTGCGATCTAACTGCCATGTCTCTGAGCTGGCACGCCACGCTCAGAAAAAACGTATGGCCCTGGAAAGCTCTTTTCGGGTTTTTTCAAAAGGACACGACATTGTTAGCGGAACACTCGGATGCTTTTTCCGCACTGCCACGCCCCGCTCAGGGAAATGTCACATTATCCGCTCAAGAATTTTTTCCGGAAGGTTCGAGGGTCCGTTGTTGCGGAAGAAGAGAACAGGAACGGAGAGCATACACGCGTCCAAATTGTAGCGCAGATGTTTGTCGCAAGTCCCGCCACCGCGCCAACGCAGCATTCACTGCGGCGACGATTCGAGCACCGCCCAGAAGGCCGTGCCATTGATACCTCGTTTTTATTTTCCCCAAACAGCTTGCTGAACGGGGTGCTGTTATGATAGAAGCTAACTCCGGTCGAGGGAAGCCGAAGCAGAGACACCCTCACAAAAATTTGATGGTCCGGGCCGTTTCGCTTCAGACATCCTCACAACTCTCGTTTCTGAGTTGGCCAGGATTGGCCGTTTCGCCTCAGACATCCTCGAAAAGTTGCGCTCCGGGACACCGCGCGAGAGGTGGTCCGGGCCGTTTCGCTTAAGACATCCTCGAAACTCTGAGTCCCGAGGTGCCGTGCGAGAGGTGGTCCGGGCTGTTTCGCCTGAGACATCCTCGAAACTCTGGGCTCTGAGATGCCTTGCGCGAGGTGGTCCGGCCCGTTTCGCCTGAGACATCCTCGAAACTCTGACCTCCGAGATGCCGCGCGAGAGGTGGTCTGGCCCGTTTCGCTTGAGACATCCTCGAACTTCTGAGCTCTGAGATGCCCTGCGCGAGGTGGTCCGGCCCGTCTCGCCTGAGACATCCTCGCAACTCTGAGCTCTGAGATGCCGTGCGCAAGGTGGTCCGGCCCGTTTCGCACAAGACATTCTCGCAACTCTGAGCTCCCAGATGCCGCGCAAGAGGTGGTCCAGCCTGGGTGCCCAGAAGACCACATGTTACATATCCCCCTGGGGACCCTGGGAGCCCCAGGAGGCCCCAGAGAGCTCCAGGAGGCCGCAGGACGCCCAGGACAGGCCCCAGGGGTCCCCAGGAGATTCTCAGGAGGCTCCCAGGAGGCCCCAGGAGGCCCCCTATCAGAACGTGTCAAGTTAATACACATCCGGTGTCGATTCGTTGATTTTTCCTGCTCTTGTGGCCACCTCCATTTTGAGGGGCCCAAACGGCCACAGGTTAGATATCCCCCCTGGGAGCCCCAAGAGGCTTCAGGAAACCCCAGGTGGAGTTCAGAAGGCCACAGGAGGCCCAGGAGGAAGCCCCAGGAGGTCCCCAGGAGGCACCAGGAGGCACCAGGAGGCCCCCGCAACTCGGAGCTCTGAGACACCGCGCTCGAGGTGGTCCGGCCCGTTTCGCCTGAGACTTCCTCGCAGCACGTTTCACCTGAGACACCGGCCCGTCTCGCCTGAGACATCCTCGCAACTCTGAGCTCTGAGATGCCGTTCGCAAGTTGGTCCGGCCCGTTTCGCACAAGACATTCTCGCAACTCTGAGCTCCCAGATGCCGCGCAAGAGGTGGTCCAGCCTGGGGGCCCAGAAGACCACATGTTACATATCCCCCTGGGGACCCTGGGAGCCCCAGGAGGCCCCAGAGAGCTTCAGGAAGCCGCAGGACGCCCAGGACAGGTCCGAGGGGGGAGCAGGAGATTCCCAGGAGGCTCCCAGGAGGCCCCAGGAGGCTCCCTATCAGAACGTATCAAGTTAACACACATCCGGTGTCGATTCGTTGATTTTTCCTGCTCTTGTGGCCCCCGCCCATTTTGGGGGGCCCCGATGGCCACATGTTAGATATCCCCCTGGGAGCCCCAAGAGGCTTCAGGAAGCCCCAGGCGGCGCCCAGGAGGCCACAGGAGGCCCAGGAGGAAGCCCCAGGAGGTCACCAGGAGGTCCCAGGAGGCCCCAGGAGGCCCCCGCAACTCGGAGCTCTGAGACACCGCGCTCGAGGTGGTCGGGCCCGTTTCGCCTGAGACTTCTTCGCAGCACGTTTCGCCCGAGACATCCTCGCAACTCTAAGGTCCCGGATGCCGCGCGCGAGGTGGTCCAGCCCGTTTCGCCTGAGACATCCTCGCAACTCTGGGCTCCGAGATGCCCTGCGCGAGGTGTCCGGCCCATCTCGCCTGAGACATCCTCGCAACTCTGAGCTCGGAGATGCCGTGCGCAAGGTGGTCTGGCCCGTTTCGCACAAGACATTCTCGCAACTCTGAGCTCCCAGATGCCGCGCAAGAGGTGGTCCAGCCTGGGGGCCCAGAAGACCACATGTTACATGTCCCCCCTGGAGGCCCCAGAGAGCTTCAGGAGGCCGCAGGACGCCCAGGACAGGCCCCAGGGGTCCGCAGGAGATTCCCAGGAGGCTCCCAGGAGGCCCTAGGAGGCCCCCTATCAGAACGTGTCAAGTTAACACACATCCGGTGTCGATTCGTTGATTTTTCCTGCTCTTGTGCCCCCCCCCTTATTTTGGGGGGGCCCGATGGCCACATGTTAGATATCCCCCCCTGGCAGCCCAAAGAGGCTTCAGGAAGCCCCAGGTGGGGTCCAGGAGGCCACAGGAGGCCCAGGAGGAAGCCCCAGGAGGTCACCAGGAGGTCCCAGGAGGCCCCGGGAGGCCCCTGCAACTCGGAGCTTTGAGACGCCGCGCTCGAGGTGGTCCGGCCCGTTTCGCCTGAGACTTCTTCGCAACTCTAAGGTCCCGGATGCCGCGCGCGAGGTGGTCCAGCCCGTTTCGCCTGAGACATCCTCGCATTTCTGGGCTCCGAGATGCCCTGCGCGAGGTGTCCGGCCCATCTCGCCTGAGACATCCTCGCAACTCTGAACTCTGAGATGCCGTGCGCAAGGTGGTCCGGCCCGTTTCGCACAAGACATTCTCGCAACTCTGAGCTCCCAGATGCTGCGCAAGAGGTGGTCCAGCCTGGGGGCCCAGAAGACCACATTTTACGTGTCCCCCCTGGGACCCTGGGAGCCCCAGGAGGCCCCAGAGAGCTTCAGGAGGCCGCAGGACGCCCAGGACAGGCCCCAGGGGTCCGCAGGAGATTCCCAGGAGGCTCCCAGGAGGCCCTAGGAGGCCCCCTATCAGAACGTGTCAAGATAACACACATCCGGTGTCCATTCGTTGATTTTTCCTGCTCTTGTGGCCCCTCTCTCACCATTTTGGGGGGGCCCGATGGCCACATGTTAGATATCCCCCCCTGGGAGCCCCAAGAGGCTTCAGGAAGCCCCAGGCGGGGTCCAGGAGGCCACAGGAGGCCCAGGAGGAAGCCCCAGGAGGTCACCAGGAGGTCCCAGGAGGCCCCAGGAGGCCCCCGCAACTCGGAGCTCTGAGACGCCGCGCTCGAGGTGGTCCAGCCCTTTTCGCCTGAGACTTCCTCGCAGCACGTTTCTCCCGAGACATCGTCGCAACTCTGGGGTCCGAGATGCCGCGCGCGAGGTCGTCCGGGCCGTTACGCTGGAGACATCCTCGCAGCTCTGGGTTCCGAGATGCCCTGCGCGAGGTGGTCCGGCCCATCTCGCCTGAGACATCCTCGCAACTCTGAACTCTGAGATGCCGTGCGCAAGGTGGTCCGGCCCGTTTCGCACAAGACATTCTCGCAACTCTGAGCTCCCAGATGTTGCGCAAGAGGTGGTCCAGCCTGGGGGCCCAGAAGACTACATGTTACATATCCCCCCTGGGACCCTGGGAGCCCCAGGAGGCCCCAGAGAGCTTCAGGAGGCCGCAGGACGCCCAGGACAGGCCCCAGGGGTCCGCAGGAGATTCCCAGGAGGCTCCCAGGAGGCTCCAGGAGGCCCCCTATCAGAACGTGTCAAGATAACACACATCCGGTGTCGATTCTTTGATTTTTCCTGCTCTTGTGGCCCCTTGGGGGGGCCCGATGGCCACATGTTAGATATCCCCCCCTGGGAGCCCCAAGAGGCTTCAGGAAACCCCAGGTGGGGTCCAGGAGGCCACAGGAGGCCCAGGAGGAAGCCCCAGGAGGTCACCAGGAGGCCCCAGGAGGCCCCAGGAGGCACCCGCAACTCGGAGCTCTGAGACACCGCGCTCGAGGTGGTCCGGCCCGTTTCGCCTGAGACTTCCTCGCAGCACGTTTCTCCCGAGACATCGTCGCAACTCTGGGGTCCGAAATGCTGCGCGCGAGGTGGTCCAGCCCGTTACGCTGGAGACATCCTCGCAACTCTGGGCTCCGAGATGCCGTTCGGGATGAAGAGGAGGAGGAGGAGGAGGAGGAGGAGGAGGCATGTTTTAACATGCCATGCCAGCCCGCACTGGACGGGCACGCAATCAACCTTGGAAACCGCAGTGGGTCTAAAAACCACGTTTGGGGATGCTGCACTCCGGCTATAATTTGAGGGGTTATCATGGAAGATACGTGGCCCGTCTTGGGGTTGTGTTGCGCTCCTGTGGGGCCTCTCGACCGCGTTTCACTCACGAGCTACTCCTGCACGCCTTGCGCTTCAGCTTGCCAGGAGCGATCCTTCCATAGTGTTCCGCTCATCGATTAGATCGGTGGGCATGTTTGCGTACGATGTTGATACTACATGCCCAAATATCCCGATAGTTTGCACGCTGTAGCGAGGGGAATGCATTTTGCCATAACAAGTGTCAATCGCCGTGGTGATTCCATGCCATTGACAAGAGCAACGGCAATTCCGTATGAAGTTCGGTTTCTCGTAAAGTGGTATTGTTTTGCGGTTGGCGTAACAGTTTCTTTTCATGTTGCATTGAGTGTGCAGATTGATGACGTTGCGGATGTGTGCCTGAATGTCCGTGTGATTGGAATTTCCAGGTGCCAGCAATCGCATTCTGGATCTCATCCGGCCGTTGATACGACTCGTTTCTTCCGCCGGCCAGCGAACACAGCAACACCCAGCGTTCAGAGTATCATTATCCACATCACTTGCGCAATGACTGGATCGAATGAGTCGCGCTATTTGTGAGGGCCTATTTCCGTAATTTGGAGACTTACAAGGGGCGCCTTGTTTGTTCGTTCTCGTCCTACCCTGTTTTTGTGACGCTGAGCGGAC